GGGTAGCTTACCAAACCTCCGGCGATTGGTATCTAATTGTTTCCACCAAGCTGAAGCACCACCTTTGAGTTTCAAAACAACGAGTTTCACCTTTTTGTTGTCGGGGGTGCTCATGTAACCAAAAAAACATTCCACGTTCTTGATCCGTTCAAGAAAACCCTCAATGTCGAGCTTACCATCAAAGCTAGGTAAGTCCACCTTCATCTTGTAACCATCGTTGTCTCTATAACGCTGGTTGTTGTACCGGTTGCCCCTCCTGCCCATTTCCCAATCCAAATATCTTCTTCGTCACTAGCTGAATCAACCACAATTCCTCTTTGACGATTGGCAGCAAAATTCCGGTGATCGTTGTTATAAAAACCACGGGGTTCTTGAAATCTTCTTGCAGCTAGAAACTGATCTTGCAACATACCTGGGATTGCGTGCGGAAAATTGTGGACTGGTTCATCTTGCAGTCCTGATTTCGCCGAGGAAGATGGAGGGGTTCTTGAATAGAGAGGGGTTCTTGATGTAATCTTGGTGTTGGTTGTCGATCATCAGAATCGATCCTTATTCCTTTTTCTCGTACCTCCTTTCCAAAATTGCTTCTCGGTTGGTCTCAATGAAGATGAAGAGAATCCAACTTATCTACAATTGTGTACAGAATTTGGCGAATCTCTACCACATTCCGTTGGAGGTTTTCAACATACCCTTTAACCATCATTAATTGGGTGGTTGTGGATCGTGGAAAGAGGACGGTGGTGTCTTCCGCCTCTTTTCCGGCGAGAGAAGGATCTCCCGCTGTAGGAGTAACTTTCTTGCCCGCCATTTCAAAAGGAGCCCAAGATTCTTGGTGCTCTGATACCAAAATTGGTGTAACCAAGAGGAGAGAATTTTATTAAAAGGGATCCGTTATCCTTTACAAAGGGAAAGGCCTCCTATTTATACACAAAGGAGCCACGGGCAGAAGAAGCTTAACTAACTAATTTGAAGCTAACTAACTAAACAGAATAACCAACAACTTACTAACTAACATAAAAATACAACTAGTGCGTTTAAGAATCTGATTTGCAGCCTTGGGTTCTTTGAGGCGATTTCGGGATAAAAGATAAACAGGGGAAAGAGTTCTTTGTTGGGTGTTAATTGTGAGGAGGGCAAGCTCAGAGAGTGGGCAACTCTCGTTGGATGTGAAGTTGGAAAGTTTCCGTCATCTTATCTCGGGCTTCCTCTAGGCCATAATCCGAATTCTTCTATCTTTTGGACGCCAGTACTGAAAAAATTTCAAAAGCGTCTTTCCTCTTGGAAGAAGGCCTTCTTCTTGAAAGGAGGGAGACTCACTTTAATTCAAGTTGTGTTGAGGGGCATTCCGAACTACTTTCTGTCCCTTTTTAGGATCTCTGTGAATGTGAGTGAAGAGTTAGAGAAGATTATGAGAGACTTTCTTTGGGAAGGTGTGGAGGAAGGGGGTGGGGCTCACCTGGTGAACTGGAAAGAGGTGTCTAAGCCCTTGGAGGTGGGAGGTCTGGGCATTGGGAATTTGAGACTTAGGAATGAGGCTTTCCTAGCTAAATGGTTATGGCGTTTCTTCCATGAGGCTAATGTCTTGTGGCAAAAGATAATTATGAGCAAGTATGGTCTGCATCCGTTTGATTGGGTTTGGGTAGGTGGGTCTAAGGTGAGTAACTACAATCCTTGGAAGGCTATTGCTTTATGTTTTCCCACTTTCTCTCAATCTTTACGTGTCGTTGTGGGGGAGGGTCTTAATACTTATTTCTGGGAGGATACTTGGTTAGGAGACAAACCTCTGTGCCTTGCTTTCCCTTGGATTTATTTTCTCTTTGAAAAGAAGCTTTTTTCTGTGGCTGAGATTTTGAGTACTAGAGGTGAGGGTTTGTCCATTTCTTTAGGGCTCACCCGCTCCTTGACTGATCGGGAATCGTTAGAGGTTTCCGACTTCCGAGTTATTGGTTTTGTTGTCTAGAGCCTCCTTTTTTTCTGGGAGGGAGGATGTGAGGGTGTGGACCCCCAACTCTTCAAAAGGCTTCTCGTATAGTTCCTTCTTCCATGTCCTGAACTCCCAGTCTTCCTCCTCTAATTCTTCTTCTCCTCCCTTGTCCCCGAGGACCCCTTGGTTCACCTCTATTTGGAAGATTAAAATTCGAAAGAAGATTAAGTTCTTTGCGTGGCAAGTCTTTTTGGGAAAAGTTAATACCATGGATCGTATTCAAAGGATGTCTTCCTTTTGTCTGGGTCCGTAGTGGTGTGTTCTTTGTAGGAGAGCATCGGAAGATCTCGACCATTTGTTGTGGAACAGTGAGTTTGCGATTTATGGCTTCGGTTCTTCAGATGTTTTGGGATTGTTTGGGTTCGCTCCAGAAACTGTAAGATGATGGTGGAGGAAGTGTTGTTGTTCCCTCTTTTCGGGACAGGGGCCGTTTTCTTTGGCAAGCTGGCTTTTTGGCTTCGTTAAGGGGTATTTGGCTAGAGAGGAATAATAGATTGTTTAGGGGGGTGGAAAAACGGTGGATTATGTTTGGGATCTCGTTAGGTTTAATACTTCCTTATGGGGTTCGGTCACTGAAGCCTTTTGTAATTATCAGTTAGGTCTCATCCTTTTGGATTGGAGCCCTTTTATTTA